GGGAAAGTGGATCCAAACCTCCTGTTTGAATTCCAGCTCAGTTTGAAGCTCAGTTGATCCTTCCAGGGATCATCTTCAATATAAAAAAGTAATCTATCCTGGAATTAACATCATGTGGGTGTGAATAAAAAGTATAGTCAAGGCCGGATGGGTAGAAGCCTCTCCACAAATCTAGAATACCAAGTTCTGTCATTAAGGCATTAATTTTCTTATGCAATGGCGTAGTAACTAGGCTCTTGGATGAATCCTGTTTTTGATTGAGACGGACATTAAAATCACCTCAACTGCTGTTTCCTTTATCATTAAGTCAAATATGTTTCTATAGAAAACAAAATCACTTCCAGGAGGGGCATAAACATTACAAATTGTTAGAACTACGTCATGCATTTTCCCTCAGGCTATTACATATCTCCCTTCCTTGTCAGAGATCTCTAGACCTGTTCAAACAGTATTTATTGTGAAATCAAGGTTGCTACAGCACTCCTGTGGCCTGATTTATAAGATGAGTAGTACACCCCTAAAAAACCCATCCTTTTAAGTTTTTCATGCTTCGGAGGGGTGAGGTGTATCTCTTGTAATAGCACAATCTGTGCATTCACCCTTTTCTTTTTTGTTAATATCTGTCTCCTCTTAGGTAGATTTAATACCCCATTCACATTAAATGAAATTACTTTAAGTGTTTGTTCATTTTATATTACTGTGGTTTACACTTATCATTACACACCCAGAACTATCTCCTGGGAAACCTGGACCTAGTATATTAGGTCAGAGTTCAGTCAGGTAAATAAAAAAGGGAAAATAAAAATGTGAAATCAAGGGTGACAGGTTCCGTTCATCTGATAAAGCAATAAAAGAAAAATAGAAGTATAGCCAGCGATCCGAATAGGTCCAGGCCAGGTGAAACAGATTTGTTATGGCGGATTTCTGCATGTGAAAAACCAGCAACAAGAAGAATAAGATAAACGTTTCAAATAAGATTGATCTTGTAATGCTAAGATATAATCCATCAGTTAGTGTCTTGGGGGGCCTGTCTTCTGAACTAGAGTCTGTCTTTAAAGTGAGTGTTTTGATGTTTACGTTGTGTGCTGCTCTCCACAGAGGCAGGCTCCTGAGTTCCGACCTTGTCTCTCCACCCCCCCGCCACTGCCAGGTGGACAAGAGCTGGATCTCATCTTGGTCCGGTGTGGAGGGGGTCTTTACCACCCTCTTTAATTCCTTTTTCATGTCGGAAAGTTGTGCCCCACTGTCTCTTCTAAATTCACGGATTTCGCTGAGAATGCTGTCCAGGCTAGCTTTGGGGCTATGCTCCTCACCAGGGTTTACCTGGTCTGGAGAGCTACTTCGTCTGTGGCTCCTGTTTGGGTCTTCTTCTGTCTGAGCCATGCTTGGTCTACTTCTAGTAGTAACCCCCTTTTTCGTTGTTTTAAAATTGGGCACCAGGGTTACCAAAATCAAGGTTTTGGGGGGTTAAATTGTAAAACCTTTCGGGAGCTAGTCGTGTTAGGCTGCCATCCTCTCAGTAGAGGACTGTTTCATACATTCTACTGTATAAGTCATAAAAGCTGGTATGATTCATGCTAATATTGTATCCAGTTAATATCAAAATTAACTGGATTAACTGCGTCCACACCTGGCCATTAGACACACCTGAGGGTCCATACCTGGCCCAGCAGATACACCTGAGGGTCCATACCTGGCCCAGCAGATACACCTGAGGGTCCATACCTGGCCCAGCAGATACACCTGAGGGTCCATACCTGGCCCTTAGACACACCTGAGGGTCCATACCTGGCCCAGCGGACACACCTGAGGGTCCATACCTGGCCCTCAGACACACCTGAGGGTCCATACCTGGCCCAGCAGACACAACTGAGGGTCCATACCTGGCCCAGCAGACACAACTGAGGGTCCATACCTGGCCCAGCAGACACACCTGAGGGTCCATACCTGGCCCTCAGACACACCTGAGGGTCCATACCTGGCCCAGCAGACACAACTGAGGGTCCATACCTGGCCCAGCAGACACAACTGAGGGTCCATACCTGGCCCAGCAGACACAACTGAGGGTCCATACCTGGCCCAGCAGACACACCTGAGGGTCCATACCTGGCCCAGCAGACACAACTGAGGGTCCATACCTGGCCCAGCAGACACAACTGAGGGTCCATACCTGGCCCAGCAGACACAACTGAGGGTCCATACCTGGCCCCGCAGACACACCTGAGGGTCCATACCTGGCCCAGCAGACACACCTGAGGGTCCATACCTGGCCCCGCAGACACACCTGAGGGTCCATACCTGGCCCAGCAAACACACCTGAGGGTCCATACCTGGCCCAGCAGACACAACTGAGGGTCCATACCTGGCCCAGCAGACACAACTGAGGGTCCATACCTGGCCCAGCAGACACAACTGAGGGTCCATACCTGGCCCAGCAGACACACCTGAGGGTCCATACCTGGCCCAGCAGACACAACTGAGGGTCCATACCTGGCCCAGCAGACACACCTGAGAGCCCCTACCTGGCCCTCAGACACACCTGAGGGTCCATACCTGGCCCAGCAGACACACCTGAGGGTCCATACCTGACCCAGCAGATACACCTGAGAGCCCATACCTGGCCCAGCAGACACACCTGAGGGTCCATACCTGGCCCAGCAGACACAACTGAGGGTCCATACCTGGCCCTGCAGACACACCTGAGGGTCCATACCTGGCCCCGCAGACACAACTGAGAGCCCATACCTGGCCCTCAGACACACCTGAGGGTCCATACCTGGCCCAGCAGACACAACTGAGGGTCCATACCTGGCCCAGCAGACACACCTGAGGGTCCATACCTGGCCCTCAGACACACCTGAGAGCCCATACCTGGCCCAGCAGACACAACTGAGGGTCCATACCTGGCCCAGCAGACACACCTGAGAGCCCATACCTGGCCCTCAGACACACCTGAGAGCCCATACCTGGCCCTCAGACACACCTGAGGGTCCATACCTGGCCCAGCAGACACACCTGAGGGTCCATACCTGACCCAGCAGACACAACTGAGGGTCCATACCTGGCCCAGCAGACACACCTGAGGGTCCATACCTGGCCCCGCAGACACAACTGAGGGTCCATACCTGGCCCTTAGACACACCTGAGGGTCCATACCTGGCCCTCAGACACACCTGAGGGTCCATACCTGGCCCAGCAGACAAAACTGAGGGTCCATACCTGGCTCAGCAGACACAACTGAGGGTCCATACCTGGCCCAGCAGACACACCTGATGGTCCATACCTGGCCCTCAGACACACCTGAGAGCCCATACCTGGCCCAGCAGACACAACTGAGGGTCCATACCTGGCCCAGCAGACACACCTGAGAGCCCATACCTGGCCCTCAGACACACCTGAGGGTCCATACCTGGCCCTCAGACACACCTGAGGGTCCATACCTGGCCCAGCAGACAAAACTGAGGGTCCATACCTGGCCCAGCAGACACAACTGAGGGTCCATACCTGGCCCAGCAGACACACCTGAGGGTCCATACCTGGCCCTCAGACACACCTGAGAGCCCATACCTGGCCCAGCAGACACAACTGAGGGTCCATACCTGGCCCAGCAGACACACCTGAGAGCCCATACCTGGCCCTCAGACACACCTGAGGGTCCATACCTGGCCCTCAGACACACCTGAGGGTCCATACCTGGCCCAGCAGACAAAACTGAGGGTCCATACCTGGCCCAGCAGACACAACTGAGGGTCCATACCTGGCCCAGCAGACACACCTGAGGGTCCATACCTGGCCCTCAGACACACCTGAGAGCCCATACCTGGCCCAGCAGACACAACTGAGGGTCCATACCTGGCCCTCAGACACACCTGAGAGCCCATACCTGGCCCAGCAGACACAACTGAGGGTCCATACCTGGCCCAGCAGACACACCTGAGAGCCCATACCTGGCCCTCAGACACACCTGAGGGTCCATACCTGGCCCTCAGACACACTTGAGGGTCCATACCTGGCCCAGCAGACACAACTGAGGGTCCATACCTGGCCCAGCAGACACACCTGAGAGCCCATACCTGGCCCTCAGACACACCTGAGGGTCCATACCTGGCCCAGCAGACACAACTGAGAGCCCATACCTGGCCCTCAGACACACCTGAGGGTCCATACCTGGCCCTCAGACACACCTGAGAGCCCATACCTGGCCCAGCAGACACACCTGAGGGTCCATACCTGGCCCAGCAGACACACCTGAGAGCCCATACCTGGCCCAGCAGACACACCTGAGAGCCCATACCTGGCCCAGCAGACACACCTGAGAGCCCATACCTGGTACCGCAGACACACCTGAGGGTCCATACCTGGTACCGAAAACACACCTCAGGGCCCATACCTGGCCCAGCCGACACACCTGAGGGTCCATACCTGGCCCCGCAGACACAACTGAGAGCCCATACCTGGCCCTGCAGAAACACCTGAGGGCCCATACCTGGCCCTGCAGAAACACCTGAGGGTCCATACCTGGCCCTGCAGACACACCTGAGGGTCCATACCTGGCCCCGCAGACACAACTGAGAGTCCATAACTGGCCCTGCAGACACACCTGCAGCTGCAGTCTGTAGCAGCAGTGGGAATGAGGCAGACACAGATCTAGTTCAGTTTTATTTTACTTTTGAAAAATTTGTGAAAATCCTAAAACGTAAAATCACATTAGTATTTATAATATATTTCCATAGTAATTGAATTTAAAATAACCAGGTTTAAAATAGTAACAAACTACAGTTACACATAATTTCTACGTTATATACGTTACAGCGGCACATTTATCTCATCTACCATAAAGACACAGAGAAACATGTTAATATTCAGTAGTGGGCTGTGATAAAGCGAAGGTCGGGCTGTTTTAGGAGTAATTTTCCCAGCGGCTGGTTTATTTATTTATTTTAGTTCCTGATTGTTGAGAAATTCCCAGCGGTCCCTGAAGGGGCCGTGAGACAGCAGCGCTAATCGCCTTCCGCGGAAACAGCAGAGAAAAGGCTAGAGAAGACAAGATGGCGGAGTGAGTGGGCTGCGCTTCGTTTGGACGCTCGCGCTCTTAAAGTTAGCCGGAAAGCAGTGAGGGGACTGAAGAAGGACCGTCAATATCATCAGCACCGCCCGGAGCGTCGTCCTCAGCGCCCCGTGACCGAGACTCAGGACACTTTTCTGGGTTTTCGCTCCTCTCCACAGCGCTAGCTGGATGCTAAGCTAGGCCTGCTGACGCTAGCTTCTTGTTGAAGGCCTCCAGCTGGATTTACAGCCTCCGCTCCAGCCGCCATTTCTGCTCTAATCTCCCTGTCCTGCTATGACAGTGCGCTCATTCTGACAGTAGAAAAACCTTTGAGTGGAACAAACATCAGTAGATTTGGTTTTTCCAGCAACGCCATCGAATGTCCTGCCGATAAGCGGGCTGGGCGGACCAACGCAGATCTAACGCTCCTCGGTCGGTAGTTTGAGCCGGGATCATGGCGAGCAGCAGCGGCTCCAAAGCTGAGTTCATAGTCGGTGGGAAGTACAAGCTCGTCCGGAAGATTGGATCGGGATCTTTCGGCGACATTTACCTGGCGATCAACATCACAAACGGAGAGGTAAGCCTGGGTCGTTTAATCTGGACTGGATGGTTTAATCTGGGCTGGATGGTTTAATCTGAGGCGGATTGAGGCTCAGCTCGGTGTTTTAACTGTTTTCCTGCTGCCTGGTTCTGATAACTGTGTGTCGTTCTCAGGAGGTAGCTGTTAAGCTAGAGTCGCAGAAAGCCAGACACCCACAGCTGCTCTATGAAAGCAAGCTCTACAAGATCCTCCAAGGAGGAGTCGGGATCCCTCACATCAGGTAAGAGCGTCTCTCTCCGGGAGCCAGAGAACCGGTCGGGATCCGGTTCTCCGGGGCGTTCAGGGGCCTGTTGTGTTGCCGGTGAAAGGCTTTGTTTAGCGGGGAGCGGCTGGCGGGGCCTCGGTAGGCCTCAGCCGGATCCAGGCCGCCTGGAAATGGCCGCTCCTCTTTTGTTGTGGTACTTCCCAACATGCCTGCTAGAAAATGGCGGCGGAGCTGCAGAGGCGGATGTTTTCCCTGAAGGGGCCCTGCTGCTCCCAACCTGTGGGGCCCTCTGGCTGTTGCTGTGTTTTCTGGCTCCTGTCTGGAACCACGAAGTGATCCGGCGGAGGGGGGGCTGCTAAGCTAACCCTTTCCACGGCTGTTTGTGTCCCCAGGTGGTACGGCCAGGAGAAGGACTACAATGTCCTAGTCATGGACCTGCTGGGACCCAGCTTGGAGGACCTGTTCAACTTCTGCTCCCGACGTTTCACCATGAAAACCGTCCTGATGCTGGCAGATCAGGTAAGAATATTACAGCAACGTCTGGAAACGAGCTCCTCGGTTTAAACATCAACGTTTGAAGCAGGAAAGAAAGCTGAAGGGACGGTCCTCATGGCCTCCTGCAGGTCAGAGGTCATGCAGGGCTGTAGACCAGTTAGAACTATGAACCACAGACTCCAGCAGTTTGTCTTTAAGCTAACAGGAAGTTCAGTTTTCTAAGTTTTTGGGACTTAGTGGATCAGCTGAACGCGCTTAATATGGCTGATAATCCAATCAGTAGGTGGCTTCAGGTGTGTGGGGCTGCGTAGGTGAAAGCGTCCCGCTTCAACCCTCATCTCTGATTATGGCAGATTATAGCGTGGGCTTAGAGCCTGAACTGGGATTAGACGGCGATGGCGGGCCGTCCAGGCATCGCTCAGACGTCCGACCACCACTGCTAAGTATGGGGTAAAAACTGACCTGGCCCGGCAAAGCTGTGGGTTTGATTCCAGCTTCCTCTGCTCTGATAGGCTCTGATCCAGCGCCGCTCTGATAGGTTCTGATCCAGCGCCGCTCTGATAGGCTCTGATCCAGCGCCGCTCTGATCCAGCGGTGCCGTGATGGAACCAACGCCGCTCTGACAGCACCTGTGTTTTTATCTTGTGTCTTCCAGATGATCAGCAGAATCGAGTACGTTCACACAAAGAACTTCATCCACAGAGACATCAAACCGGATAACTTTCTCATGGGCATCGGCCGTCACTGTAACAAGGTATGTTCCTGTGGACCAATGAAAGCAGGCGAGCGTCCCATTGACCTCCCTCAGTGTCTGTAAGCCAGCATGGTGTCATCATAACATAGCTGTAGAGGTCCTGCTTTCTGATTGGCCGACGCTTCCTCTGAGTTCAGGCCTGGAGATCAGGGAGTTTAGATCAGACAGAAAGACGCCGCTGCAGGCCCCACACACCTGGGTTAGAGCGACAGCAGCCTGCATGATGTCATCACGCCTCCTCTCCATCATGTTGATGGACGGCGTCATTTCAGCCGATTGAACCGTGTATAGATGCTTCAGGAGGAACTGGGTGCCATGTTGCAGCTCCTGTTTATAGCTGCTCTGGGATCAGCTGCGGTCAGAGCCACTGCGGCTCCTCTTCCTCCTCCTGATGTTTCTAGGAGCAGACGGAGGATCTTAGAAAGTCCTGCTGATGGTTTTAAAAGCGGCGTTTGGAGACGTGGAGAGGCGAGCGTGTTGAAGAGCCATGCTAGGTCAGCGCCTGGGGCCACAGTCTGCCTGTGGAAACACTGGGCGCCCGTTCTGGGCGGGAGCAGACCTCTTTGCTCCATCATTCAGTCTCTTAAAGGGCCGGCTGCAGATTTCACACCGCTCTGGTTTTCTAATTAGACTTCTAGTTATTTCATTTTGAGCCAGTTTGGACACGCCTTTCTAACATTACCCGCTCCTTGGGCTGTAGACGGCCTTATAGATCACAGCGGGGGCCTGGGCCGGCCCACGGGCCTCCAGTTTGACACTGGGCAGCCTGGAGTGATCATGTGTAACCTGCTTCTGATCATTTCAGGCCAGTCTGAAGCACACAGGTCTGATTCTTTCCAATGGGACCTACTGGGCTCTGTGGTCCTGATCTGACCCGTGTCTGAGCGGCCAGGTGGCATTCATCACACCTGGACGCCTTTAATACTCATTAGGGGATAATATGATGCTTCTGGTGGCCATGGTGGACAATGATGCAGAGAGAAGTCTTTTTTTTTTAACCCTCAGATGGCGTTGTTGATGCTCTGGCTGAGATTGGGACAGATCCGGCCCTATCGGCCATGTTTACTCCCATACACACAGACAACGCTTTTGAAGTCATCTGGGCTGAAGCATTTAATCCGATGAATCGATTATTGAAATAATTGTTACCTAATTCAGTAATCGATTAATGATCCACTGGAGTATAGAGACTGAAACATGCCTTTAGCTGACAGAGCGACCCTTATAAGATTGGAAAATGAAATCTATAAACATTTTGGATTTAGGATAAACTCAAGTGGAGAAGTTTTAGTTTCACCTGGTTTAATTCTGTAAAGTCTTCTTCATGGAACCTTTGGCTATCTGATTATTAACGATTAATAATAAAAAACAATCAACAGATTAAAAGATTCACTAACTAATGGTTAGATGCAGCCCTTCCTGCGGATCATCTGGTCAGAATAACGCCGCGTTAAACCTACAACATCCTCATCAGAACTTTAGAGGAACCTGAGATCTAAACAAATCTGTTTTATTTGGGAACGGCCATCTGACCCGTTTCCATAGAAACCATAGCAGTAAATATTAGTTTACCAAACAAAGGGCAGATTGGACTGCAACATGCTGAGAGTCAGAGGAGGAGCCAGATTAGGATGGCGCCTCCAGCTGAGATATTAGAGAACCTCTGCTGTAAAGAGTTATGGATTAATTAGAAACCATTAAATTCGCATTTAAATAAAGGATATTTATCCACCCAGCTCCTCCCCTGGTGGTGTTTAGATAGGATGGCAGCACAGGAGGCTACGAGCGCCGCCACGAAGGACGCGCTTAGTGGCGCTTCCTACTAGCTTTGCCTCAGAGGCCAGATGGCGACTTCTCCTTCCAGCTACTGTCTGTAAAGTTGCAGCGGGTGAAAAGATCAGTAGATATTAGATCAATCAAAAAGAGCAGATTGATGCGTGTAGAATTGAAACTGAACTAAACGGATCTGGAAAGCCTCATGTAGAAATCATCCAGGCTTTAGCCAATCACAGCAGCAGCTGCTTGGTTTGGTTCTCTGAGTTAAATGCGCCAACGATTCATCTCTCTCCCCAGGTAACAAAAGAGAGCTGAAAAATCCTGTTTCTACAAATGCATCAATCTAAGAAGCAGTCAGTCTGTTTCTGCTGAGAATAGCATCAGGATCTATAGTAACTGAACCTTTATTAACAGAATGAGTGAAACCAGCAGCTAATGGAACCGGTTCAGAGACACACTGGACTATAAACTAGAATAAATGACTGCATGGCTGGAACTAGCTCTCACAGGAGGAGGAGGAGCCTGTGATGGGGGCCCGGGGCCCCCGGCCTGACCTGATGTGGTCAGTGATTGGGAGAGTTTGGGTTTATTTTTCATGAAGTTGGATGAACTGCAGACGGATTGAGAGGATCTCCAGGAAACGCTCAGCAGGTGCGGGAACAGTCTGGCATCTGTCATCAGTTTCTGTCTCAGCCTTTCTACCTCCACCCCTCCCTGCAGTGGCTCCACCCACCCAACCCCTTTAGCGAGTTCTCAATTACTGGTTCTACTGGCCTGTTCTGGCATTTCAGAGCTGCTCAGCAGCAGGAATGAAGAGTGCTGACATGCTGGGAACAGGCCGCCCTTCCCTGGATGGACCTGCTGTACATCAACGGAAGGAGTGGAGAAAACCAAAAGCCTCAGACCTGAGGGGAGGCTGAGGAGCAGGGAGGAGGAGCAGCTTGATGGGGTCAGAGTGGAGGCTGAGGAGCATTGCCTGCTTGGGGCCAAGTAGAGCCCGTCTAAACCCGGCAGGATCTGCCTTCTAGGGGCCGCGTAGAGCCCATCCAAACCCGGCAGGATCTGCCTTCTAGGGGCCGCGTAGAGCCCGTCCAAACCCGGCAGGTTCTGCCTTCCAGGGGGCGTGTAGAGCCCGTCTAAACCAGGCAGGTTCTGCCTTCCAGGTGCCGCGTAGAGCCCGTCCAAACCCGGCAGGTTCTGCCTTCCAGGGGGCGTGTAGAGCCTGTCCAAACCAGGCAGGTTCTGCCTTCCAGGTGCCGCGTAGAGCCCGTCCAAACCAGGCAGGTTCTGCCTTCCAGGGGGCGTGTAGAGCCCGTCTAAACCAGGCAGGTTCTGCCTTCCAGGTGCCGCGTAGAGCCCGTCCAAACCCGGCAGGTTCTGCCTTCCAGGGGGCGCATAGAGCCCGTCTAAACCCGGCAGGTTCTGCCTTCCAGGGGGCGCGTAGAGCCCGTCCAAACCCGGCAGGTTCTGCCTTCCAGGTGCCGCGTAGAGCCCGTCCAAACCCGGCAGGTTCTGCCTTCCAGGGGGCGCGTAGAGCCCGTCCAAACCCGGCAGGTTCTGCCTTCCAGGGGGCGCGTAGAGCCCGTCCAAACCCGGCAGGTTCTTCCTTCCAGGGGGCGCGTAGAGCCCGTCCAAACCAGGCAGGTTCTGCCTTCCAGGTGCCGCGTAGAGCCCGTCCAAACCAGGCAGGGTCTGCCTTCCAGGGGCCGCGTAGAGCCCGTCCAAACCCGGCAGGTTCTGCCTTCCAGGGGGCGCGTAGAGCCCGTCCAAACCCGGCAGGTTCTGCCTTCCAGGGGGCGCGTAGAGCCCGTCTAAACCAGGCAGGTTCTGCCTTCCAGGTGCCGCGTAGAGCCCGTCTAAACCCGCTAAACCCGGCAGGGTCTGCCTTCCGGGGGCCGCGTAGAGCCTCTCTAAACCCGGCAGGGTCTGCCTTCCAGGGGCCGCGTAGAGCCTCTCTAAACCCGGCAGGGTGTGCCTTCCAGGGGCCGCGTAGAGCCTCTCTAAACCCGGCAGGGTCTGCCTTCCAGGGGCCGCGTAGAGCCTCTCTAAACCCGGCAGGGTCTGCCTTCCAGGGGCCGCGTAGAGCCTCTCTAAACCCGGCAGGGTCTGCCTTCCAGGGGCCGCGTAGAGCCTCTCTAAACCCGGCAGGGTCTGCCTTCCAGGGGCCGCGTAGAGCCTCTCTAAACCCGGCAGGGTCTGCCTTCCAGGGGCCGCGTAGAGCCTCTCTAAACCCGGCAGGGTCTGCCTTCCAGGGGCCGCATAGAGCCTCTCTAAACCCGGCAGGGTCTGCCTTCCAGGGGCCGCGTAGAGCCTCTCTAAACCCGGCAGGGTCTGCCTTCTAGGGGCCGCGTAGGGTCCGTCTAAACCCGGCAGCCCGTCTAAAGACATTTAGGGTTCATTAGATTGTCTTATAGGACAAATCAAGCTTTATTTTGTTGTTCTGATGCATAATTCTTCATTTTGTAATTTTGTCATTTCATTGAATTACCATGGAAACGAGATCAACCTTCATGAACTTCCTGTCTATTAAAAATGCAGCAGTGAATGTTTGCTTGAGTCAGAGATGAAAGCATCTGGTGGAGCCGGCTGATCTGAGGGACGTCTTCACTGGAAGCCGATCGGGGGGACAGATCTGTCCCAACCTTTCTTAATTCAGCTAAAGGGAACAGGAAGTAATGGTCAGGGCCTCTGATGTTGTTCCTATGGAATGACATCCGCCCACATTGTTTACAGATCTGTGTGAATGTGTCGTGCTTGGAGTGTTTGGTTATTAATAAAGCACCTTTTAGTCACACAGAGGAAATCGTAGTTTTATGCTGTTAAATGCAGTTTATTTTTATAGCTCCAATTCACATCATGTCATCTGAGGTTACTTTACAGTTCACCAGATCATACAGTCAGATTGATTCAGTTTTCTATTTAAGGAAAACCAGCTGGTTGCATCGACTCATTGAATCTCCAGCAATCCCTCACACTAAGCATGCTTGTAGCGACAGTGGAGAGGAAAAACTCCCTTAGAACAGGAAGAAACCTCCAGCAGAAACAGCCAGCTCCCATGTCAGAGGATGAAGAGAGCACATCCAGTTAGTCACAGTCAGAGAAACAGGACTACACTGAAAAACAGGCCGATCCTCAGCATCTATAAACAAAGGTGTTGATGGCAGCAGCACAGCTGATATTTCTCTCCAGGATGGAGTCACAGCCAAACAGGAACAGACCAGATGAAGCTACTATGAGAAAAAGCAGAGAGAGCAGAACGTTAGAGATTGAACTAATAGATTCTGCAGAGTGGGAGAATAGAGATAGAATGAAGCAGAATGATGAAAAAGGGGTCCCTATGTCCTCCAGCAGTCTAAGCCTATAGCAGCATAACTATAGAGATAGATCAGGATAACCTGAGCCACTCTAACTATAAGCTTTATCAAAAATGAAAGTTTTAAGCCTAGCCTTAAAAGTAGACAGGGTGTCTGCCTCACGGACTAAAACTGGTAGTTGGTTCCACAGGAGAGGAGCCTGAGAACTAAAAGATCTGCCTCCCATTCTACTTTTAGAAATTCTAGGAACCACTAGTAAACCTGCAGATTGAGAGCGAAGTGCTCTGTTAGGAACATAAGGAACAATCATATCTCTGATATCAGATGGAGCTTGGCCATTTAAGGCTTTATATGTGAGAAGGAGGATTTTAAATTCTATTCTGGATTTAACAGGAAGCCATTTTTGAGTCAAAACTGGGGAAAAAAGGCAAACAGGCTAGGCTTGATGAACACTGTGTCCCAGTTCTGGATTTATGTAACCAGAATTACAGCTAGCTAAGCTACCAGCGGTTAGCTTGGACCCTCAGCTGGGTCTCTGGTGGAGGATGTCATCCACAGGCTGAATGGTTCCTCATCTTGACCAGGAAATCCTTCCTGGGCCGATACCAGAACCAGAGACAGCTGGCCTGCAGGGGGCGCTGAACCTGGAAGCTACAGCAGTCCCCAGTGGCTGGAAGTGGAGGTGTTGCTTGAAGTTTTATCTTCTTGGACGATTATGATTGTATTTAAATATTAAAAACTACATGATTGTTTTAGACTAGGTTTACTTTATTCAAAAATATATTGTCCAAAATAACAAATATTTAGCCAACAATAAACGTATCAAAAGAATGTAAACTGAAATATTCATAACATAGATCTTGTGTAAGATGTTCAGCGAACAATGATTGAACAGTAAAAATGAACGACTATATATACAATACAGGAGAGAAAACCAGTAATTATGGATCAGTCAAAAACCTGCATTGATCCTTTGGGCAGTAGGTGGTTTGTAGGTCCAGTTCATGTCCATATAATGCAGATAAACTGAAGAGACCGACTGGACCAAAGGTCTGCAGCAGCTGCAAACGAAGCAGAGTCCAACTTCAGAGCGCTGGTCGATTTCGGTCTATAGTTTTAGTAGTGCAGCCTCTGCAGAGTATTAGCTTCTCGCCAGCTCATATTTTGGATCACAGCCTGTGAAGAAAACCAGGCGGCGCGGGTTTGGCCTCTTTTATTGTCGTGTTTCTCTTTTGCTGCCGACACTGAACTCCCAAAGCTGCCTGCGCCGCTCTCATTCTGTGGAGGGGATGCCAGAGATGCTGAAACCAGTTAGCTGCACACCATTGTAGTCTGCTCCACATTGGCCTAGTCAAAGCCCAACCACTTCAAAGGCGCAAGAAAAGAATGCAGAAGAAGAGAAGTTATTGATTTTACGATTCAGGAAAATTTCAAATCGTGGACTTTTAAAAACCAGAATTATCGCCCAGCCCTAAGCTCCAGCGCTCTAAAAACTGAATTAATGGAATGAAGGCGATTTGGTGCGTTCAGACAGAACGCTGAGAGTTCCTCCAGCAGGGAGTTCGCCTCCCTGCTTTCAGATCCGGTGTTTACAGCCTGGACCATGTCATTAGGTAGGAGGAGCTACAGCGGCGTGAAGTTATTTCAGAGATATTAAAGATTATTCTGTAGGTCACCCAGAGGTCAACCATCACCCATTAAGCTCCTCCTTTTTCAGAGCTGCTTCATTTCTGCAGGTAAAACTGTCGTTTGTCTGATTTATTATTTTTACTTTCAGTGGATGACATCAGCATCCCAGCAGGTGTTAGCGCTGCGCTGGTTTCCTGATGTAAAGTTAGTGCATCAGATGTCATTCCTGAATAGAACAGCGGGCATTTTGACCTTAGTTAGTTAATCTCCAGCCTCCCAGATTCTCTGCTACTGTTACCCCTGGCAACCCCTTAGCATTTCCTATCAGGATAAAAGCCCAGGTCAACCTTAACATCACGGACTGCTGCTAAATTGTTCTCTATGAACAACCTTAGACTCTCCTTGGGGAGACCATCAGTTCCTGGAATAAACATCTACTTTGGTTCATCCAGAGCAGCTCTGATTCAGCAGGACTTCCTTGTAAATCTCCCCCCTCAGAAAGCCCTGATGCTGGGCAGTGGGCAGTGGCAGACTGCTGGAGGTGAGGGAGGATGATCAACAGTCCTTCTAGGATGAAATTATTTAAAGTAGAAAAGCTTCTCCTCCATCCAGTCCCTGATTGGCCGCCATGTTGCGTTTTCATAGAGAAGTTCAGCTGGTTCTATCTTCAGCGATTACCGCTCCTCTCTCTCCATGCGGTGCTGCTGTCTGACTCCTCAGCTCCATCTAGGAGCAGGAGGTGATGGAGGAGCAGTGAACGCTCTCACTGTGTGGAGTTCACCGCTGGACCGTGGACTGTGCCTGAACACACCGTAACATTCTGGGTGATTGCTTCATATCCTGGTTTTTCAGTCTCCATGGCGATGGTGTTATGCCGATGGCAGATGAAGTGAGGGAGGATGCTGCAGCTCTGAGCTCCTCTGGGTCCATTTCACCCTGCGGCCTGCAGCTCAGGCTCCAGGCTAACAAGCTCCTCCCCTTTTTATCCTGCTGCTATGAACACGGGCCAGGTTAGGGTCGCAGGGCTGCCCACGTCTGGTTGAAGGAGTGAGACGGCTCCACGGTGAAGTAAATCCACAGCGTTGATGAATGCAGGAGTTTAGAGCGGCCGCTGCTTCGGTCACATATTCCTCCCATCCCTGCAGCCCGCAGGCCCCTGCTGTCAGTTTGCTTTATTCCTGATGATGAAGCTGTATTTTTGGAGACTTAGTGGGGCAGCACTGAGGGGAGGGGGGTGGATTTTAAAGCTGAAATCACACGGATAGGAGCCTTTCTTTAGCCCCACCCACTCACACTCAGACATTTCTCAGGAGGTTTCTGCTCCCTTTTCTACATACAGTCAATGCTTATTGTAGCTGCTGAGAACACTGCCTGTTGCACGTAACCCAGAACCATGTGGGCCTAACAGAACTGCCTGTTGTGCTCATGTTAATTTTGACTCAAGGTGGAAAGCGGCTGTTTAATTTTGACCCCTCCCCCTCTACTGTCTGCCCTAGTGTTTAGACTCGTCAGTGGGGAAGAGGAAAAGAAGCTTGGCTGTTAGCTCTTCTCAGGATCCATCTTTCTCAGGATTAAACCAGGTGTGACATTTACCACAACACCCGCTGCCTCACAACAGCATTTGTTGCTTTGCTATTGAATGTTGGTTTGAACTGCATCGGTCCACAAGCTTCCATCATACCTGGCATAATACTGGACACATGTATTCTCTCATCCTTTAGCTGTGAGACATGAGGGGTTCCCTTTTTGTTTTTGTACTGATGAACCCCAGCTCCAGGTTCTGTAGTCATTGACTCCTTGTGTTCGGTAAGCCTAATGCATCTCGCTCTCACAGTAAGTTTAGATGTTCAATCTTGTCACTTAGAACATCAGCAGAAGTAAACTTGTTTCACCTAAAAGGCTTTAGGTTGCTAGTTGAGATGTTAAAGTTTCCTTCCGTGCATCGATGTCCTGCCGTTTAATCCACTTCATGCTCATGCTGTCACCACATAGTTAACTCTCCTAAAACATATTGGCTGTAGTCTAAAGCCATGGATGTTTTTCTGCAAAGCACCTAAAAGCCTACGTCCAATTAACTCTTTGATTTTCTAACGTAAACGTTATTTCCTCCTTGATTAAAGATGGACCCTAATGAGATGAACTGAATGAATCAGTGATGGCCGTCATCAGGTCATTATCTTTCCCTGTGTTCCACTCTGGTTTTTATTAGCCTAGTTGATGTCTTAACAGCTCAGCTGAATCCTTAGTAGTCGACTGGTCAGATTTACCTGTCAAACTTTATGAAAACTGCATGCTTCGAGAAATAAAAATCCTGAAATATCGGCATTCTGGCTACGGATTTAATCAATAAAAAAATTCAGAAACCACGAGGTGTTCAGGTTTTGGTAAGAATAAGATGCGGCCTTTCTAACTCCAGCCCTGTAGATGGCGCTCCTACGCTTAGTCGCTCTGATATCTCGCAGAAGGTAAAACAGTTTCAGCCAGCACGAGGTGGGGGGGTTATGTTCTTCCAGGGATCAGGCTCAGGAGGGAGAGCGTTATCCACCCCCCATCCCTGCCGTGATGACGTGGTGTTGTTACAGGAAATGTGAGGTTAGAAAATAAATAAAAACCCTTCAGCTGATCTCAGTGGAATCATTTGTGTCGCTCTGTTTAAAGAAATTCAAGGCCTCATTTAAAGACCTCGGATTAAACATGTTTACCCTTATACCCTTTTACAAAATGGAGATTAGCTCTGTAAAGTAGTGGCTAGATTAAACCAGGTTTTTTCCTAGTTAATAGAGAAATGTTTTCTGAGTAGAAAGGAAGGTAGAATGGTAAGAATAGCTGCAATGCTAATGGAGTTGGAGACTGAGCCTCCAGGACGGCGATTTCTGCCAGAACCAAAATATCTGTGAGGACATGTGTGGTTGCTCACCTGTTGCATCCAAATCTCATTTACCACAACTTCAAGTTTTCACTTTGTTTTAAGTCCCCTCTTATATAGACCATATTGATCTGTAAATAATTAAGGATCTGATTAATCTGAGGAACATCATAAAACTTAGTGAGGAAGTGTCGGCCCTGATGCGCTTAGTAGAAGCTGAAATTTGATAGTTAAAAAATCTTCAAACAGAAGAAAAAGGAATGTTCTTGGAGAGCTTCAAGCTGAACATTTTCATTATCTCTTTCCATAAATATGAAAAAGGAACCCTTTGAGATAACTGTCTAAAACAACCCTAGTAAAAGAGAGTTCAGTCTGGTGTCGATTTTCCATCTCTGCTCAAAGGCAATTCACTTCCTGTCCTGCTGACTAATCAGGGTTTACAGTATTCAGGGAAGGAGCAGACTTAGCACTCTTTAGGATTTACAGCATTCAGAGGAGGAGCAGACGTAGCATTCTTTAGGGTTTACAGCATTCAGAGGAGGAGCAGATGTAGCACTCTTTAGGATTTACAGCATTCAGAGGAGGAGCAGACGTAGCATTCTTTAGGGTTTACAGCATTCAGAGGAGGAGCAGACGTAGCACTCTTTAGGATTTACAGCATTCAGAGGAGGAGCAGACGTAGCATTCTTTAGGGTTTACAGCATTCAGAGGAGCAGCAGACGTAGCACTCTTTAGGGTTTACAGCATTCAGAGGAGGAGCAGACGTAGCACTTTTTAGGGTTTACAGCATTCAGCGGAGCAGCAGAAGTAGCACTCTTTAGGGTTTACAGCATTCAGAGGAGCAGCAGACATAGCACTCTTTAGGGTTTACAGCATTCAGAGGAGGAGCAGACGTAGCACTTTTTAGGGTTTACAGCATTCAGCGGAGCAGCAGAAGTAGCACTCTTTAGGGTTTACAGCATTCAGAGGAGCAGCAGACGTAGCACTCTTTAGGGTTTACAGCATTCAGAGGAGGAGCAGACGTAGCACTTTTTAGGGTTTACAGCATTCAGCGGAGCAGCAGACGTAGCACTTTTTAGGGTTTACAGCATTCAGCGGAGCAGCAGACGTAGCACTCTTTAGGGTTTACAGCATTCAGCGGAGCAGCAGACGTAGCACTCTTTAGGGTTTACAGCATTCAGAGGAGCAGCAGACGTAGCACTTTTTAGGGTTTACAGCATTCAGGGAAGGAGCAGATGTAGCACTCTTTAGGGTTTACAGCATTCAGAGGAGCAGCAGACGTAGCACTCTTTAGGGTTTACAGCATTCAGGGAAGGTGCAGATGTAGCACTCTTTAGGGTTTACAGCATTCAGAGGAGCAGCAGACGTAGCACTCTTTGGGGTTTACAGCATTCAGGGAAGGAGCAGATGTAGCACTCTTTAGGATTTACAGCATTCAGAGGAGGAGCAGACGTAGCACTCTTTAGGGTTTACAGCATTCAGGGAAGGAGCAGATGTAGCACTCTTTAGGATTTACAGCATTCAGAGGAGGAGCAGACGTAGCACTCTTTAGGGTTTACAGCAGTCAGAGGAGGAGCAGACGTAGCACTCTTTAGGGTTTACAGCATTCAGGAGAGCAGCAGATGTAGCATTCTTTAGGGTTTACAGCATTCAGGGAAGGAGCAGATGTAGCACTCTTTAGGGTTTACAGCATTCAGAGGAGCAGCAGACGTAGCATTCTTTGGGGTTTACAGCATTCAGGGAAGGAGCAGATGTAGCACTCTTTAGGATTTACAGCATTCAGAGGAGGAGCAGACGTAGCACTCTTTAGGGTTTACAGCATTCAGGGAAGGAGCAGATGTAGCACTCTTTAGGATTTACAGCATTCAGAGGAGGAGCAGACGTAGCACTCTTTAGGGTTTACAGCATTCAGAGGAGGAGCAGACGTAGCACTCTTTAGGATTTACAGCATTCAGAGGAGGAGCAGACGTAGCACTCTTTAGGGTTTACAGCAGTCAGAGGAGGAGCAGACGTAGCACTCTTTAGGGTTTACAGCATTCAGGAGAGCAGCAGATGTAGCATTCTTTAGGGTTTACAGCATTCAGGGAAGGAGCAGATGTAGCACTCTTTAGGGTTTACAGCATTCAGAGGAGCAGCAGACGTAGCATTCAGGGAAGGAGCAGATGTAGCACTCTTTAGGATTTACAGCATTCAGAGGAGGAGCAGACGTAGCACTCTTTAGGGTTTACAGCATTCAGGGAAGGAGCAGATGTAGCACTCTTTAGGATTTACAGCATTCAGAGGAGGAGCAGACGTAGCACTCTTTAGGGTTTACAGCATTCAGGGAAGGAGCAGACGTAGCACTCTTTAGGATTTACAGCATTCAGAGGAGGAGCAGACGTAGCACTCTTTAGGGTTTACAGCATTCAGGAGAGCAGCAGACGTAGCATTCTTTAGGGTTTACAGCATTCAGGGAAGGAGCAGCAGACGTAGCACTCTTTAGGGTTTACAGCATTCAGGAGAGCAGCAGACGTAGCACTCTTTAGGGTTTACAGCATTCAGGGGAGGAGCAGACGTAGCACTTTTTAGGGTTTACAGCATTCAGAGGAGCAGCAGACGTAGCACTCTTTAGGGTTTACAGCATTCAGAGGAGCAGCAGACGTAGCACTCTTTAGGGTTTACAGCATTCAGAGGAGCAGCAGACGTAGCACTCTTTAAGGTTTACAGCATTCAGGGGAGGAGCAGACGTAGCACTCTTTAGGGTTTACAGCATTCAGAGGAGCAGCAGACGTAGCACTCTTTAGGGTTTACAGCATTCAGAGGAGCAGCAGACGTAGCACTCTTTAGGGTTTACAGCATTCAGAGGAGCAGCAGACGTAGCACTCTTTAGGGTTTACAGCATTCAGAGGAGGAGCAGACGTAGCACTCGTTAGGGTTTACAGCATTCAGGGAAGGAGCAGATGTAGCACTCTTTAGGGTTTACAGCATTCAGAGGAGCAGCAGACGTAGCACTCCTTAGGGTTTACAGCATTCAGAGGAGCAGCAGACGTAGCACTCTTTAGGGTTTACAGCATTCAGAGGAGCAGCAGACGTAGCACTCTTTAGGGTTTACAGCATTCAGAGGAGGAGCAGACGTAGCACTCTTTAGGGTTTACAGCATTCAGAGGAGGAGCAGACGTAGCACTCTTTAGGGTTTACAGCATTCAGGGAAGGAGCAGATGTAGCACTCTTTAGGGTTTACAGCATTCAGAGGAGCAGCAGACGTAGCACTCCTTAGGGTTTACAGCATTCAGAGGAGCAGCAGACGTAGCACTCTTTAGGGTTTACAGCATTCAGAGGAGCAGCAGACGTAGCACTCTTTAGGGTTTACAGCATTCAGAGGAGGAGCAGACGTAGCACTCTTTAGGGTTTACAGCATTCAGAGGAGGAGCAGACGTAGCACTCTTTAGGGTTTACAGCATTCAGAGGAGCAGCAGACGTAGCACTCTTTAGCCCCCCAGCTGGGACAGACAGTTGCTAGTTGACAGGATATTTGATAGAGATATTAGTGAAAACTCACAGCCAAAAACGGATCACTTTTAGATGAGTTAATGGGCCTGCATGTAAGGCTGCTGATAGAAACACTCAGCTGCTTTTTAAGCTTGGTGTAATCTGGTGGTTAATGATAGATATATTCTGATATATCAGGAAACCTCAGATATCTTATATGCTTTTTGTTACCCTCCATTACTTAATGGATTTCAGTTAGAGTAGCAGCACCAATGGTGGGAAAGTTACTCTGCCTTCTTTTTATGTGAAGCATTTTGCCTTCAGCTGAACAGCCTTTAAAAATCAGGTCTATCCGGTTCCCATCATAAAGCTCCTACATTTACTCACAGTGACAGAAAACAGTTTATCTCCAGTGTGTTGATCTTTGATTCAGGGCTTCCTCTGTGACTAAAGGCAACATGTTGCTCTCTGTTCTCTCCCTCAGTTGTTCCTTATTGACTTTGGTTTGGCAAAGAAGTACAGAGACAATCGTACACGGCAACACATCCCCTACAGAGAAGACAAGAACCTGACGGGGACCGCACGCTACGCCTCCATCAACGCACACCTGGGCATTGAACAGAGGTTTGTCCATCCGTCACTTTCACTGCAGCGCTCTGAATCCTCCTTTCTGATTGGTTGAGACGGGCTGCGGGGAGTTTACAGCAGAAACCTTCTCCAGGAACTTTCCTTCCTGGGTTGTCTGCTGTGGCCATGATCCACTCAGCTCCCTCTGTTGGATTCCAGCAGCCATTGTTGCTGCGTAGCTTTATTAAACCCTGGCAGTAATGTTTAGCGCCTCTCTGCATGCATGAGTTTATGTCTGGATGTGCTGTTGTTTGCAGTCGCCGTGACGACATGGAGTCTCTAGGCTACGTGCTGATGTACTTCAACAGAACCAGTCTGCCTTGGCAAGGATTAAAGGTAGGAAGAATCCGTCTTTCATGTTTTTATTCACTGGTTTCCACTTCCTGAGCTTCAGCTCGCCTTTCTAAGCCTTCGCTGTTGGTTTTTTCCACAACCTTCACTTTAACTGATCAGTTACTTGTAAAGAAAATGTTTTATTTTTTTTTGTCTCAGCCTTGAGCTGCAGACCAATCAGAAGCAGCTCTGACCTTTGGAATCCCAAAGGTTAAACTAATCAGAATGGCTGATCTCAGCTCACTTTATAGAGAAAACTCAATCAGATCATCCGGTCAGATTAAAGGTTCAAATGAAAACCAGTTGATTGCATCGACTCATTGATTCTTCAGCAATCCCTCACATTAAGCATGCTTTGAACAGCAAGAAACCTCCAGCAGCAAAAAAAAAAAAAAAAAAAATGAAGATAGTTCTATGTTATTTAGTCCGTAGGAAATCAAAATGTTACTTAGATTTGTCATTTAAACTTATTTTAATGTCTTTTTTTCTAACCGTTTAAAGCCCAATCCAAGAATAAAACAAAACAAAAAATTACTTTTTTTTGGTTTGAATTCCTTATTTGCCCTTTTAACAAAATATGTAAAAAGAATATGCAATAAGTCATATAAATAGACTATGCAATAAGTCAAGAATATTTTTTGTGTAGTCTTCTACTGACTTTTATCAGGTAGATCTGATTGTGTACAATAGGATTTTGAGCAAAGTTTTTACCATTAAATTATGCAAAAGGTGTCAGACACAAAACATTTCAGAAACCGTATGTATCAAATATGATACATTTGGCATTACTGGGTTAATGGAATGGCACGTTTATGTTAATTTAGAGGCTAAATAGTAAAATTCTTCTCAGTTTATTTCTATGGGTCTGGTCTATAGATCCAGATCAATCAGATCATCCAGTCACTGACTTGGAGGGATGAACTCCAAAGTCTTTGAGGTGGAAATACCTTTTGGCCATCACCCTCATTTATAATATAATCTCCATCTCCATAAGATTGATGGTGAACCGATGGATAACTTCTAACCACAGCGGTTCTGTGGTACCACTGTTTGATTTTTGGGCTCTGTTGTTTTTTTCCAAGGCTGCCACAAAGAAGCAGAAGTATGAGAAGATATCAGAAAAGAAGATGTCTACGCCTGTGGAGGTCCTCTGTAAGGTGAGACGGGTCTCCTTTAAATCTCTTATTCCCTTCTGCGTTTTGGTTCCTCTAGGAGGTTCCAGAGTGAGGAACCGTCCATGGTTCTGGGTTTTGGTTCCTCTAGGACACAGGTGTCAAACTGGTTCCAGAAAGGGCCGTGTGGCTGCAGGTTTTCTTTCCAACCAAACAATAGCATCAGACTCCATTCATCTCATCAAGTCATCATGTTCAGATTGGACTCCCTTGATGAGGTGACTGGAGTCTGATGCTATTGCTTGGTTGGAAAGAAAACCTGCAGCCACACGGCCCTTTCTGGAACCAGTTTGACTCCCCTGCTCTAGGAGGTTCCGGAGTGAGGAACCGTCCAGGGTTCTGGGTTTTGGTTCCTCTAGGAGGTTCCGGAGTGAGGAACCGTCCAGGGTTCTGGGTTTTGGTTCCTCTAGGAGGTTCAGGAGCAGGAACCGTCCATCAGTGTGAATAATCCCTTCCGAGGCCGTTGTTCTGACCCCCTCCCTCCCTAACTGTGTCTGCAGGGTTTCCCAGCAGAGTTTGCCATGTACCTGAACTACTGCCGCGGGCTGCGCTTCGAAGAGGCTCCAGACTACATGTACCTGCGCCAGCTGTTCCGCATCCTCTTCAGGTAAATCCTCACAGGAAGGTAACACTACACCCACGGTCGCCATGCTCCACCTGAACGAGCAGCTGCTGCGCTCCAACCTGCTCTAATGGGCCCTCAGCCAGCTTTCCTTGGCGTTAGTGCTGACTACCTGCTGATGGTCAGACCGCGCCACCCACCTTTGGGTCCCTTGGCTCCAACCGAGGACCATTTTAAGCTCGTGGCCTATCAGAGGATCCGCCGATGGTTCCTTTAGCTCAAGGCTAAGATCATCTAAGCTGGATTCTAGAGCAGCTAGAAGGTGTTCCAGGTAATAAAGGGTAACCTGATGTTTTCTCTCTGCAGGACTCTGAACCACCAGTACGACTACACGTTTGACTGGACCATGCTGAAACAGAAAGCTGCACAGCAAGGGGCCTCTTCAGGGGGACAAGGCCAGCAGGCGCAAACCCCCACAGGCAAGCAAACTGACAAATCCAAGCCTAACTTGAAAGGTTAGTAGCAAACAGCCAAGAGACGTTTTTTACAGACACCAATTGCTCATATATTCATTGAGTTTTTCTGCAGCATCAGGCCTTAATCTGTGGAACAGACTCTGCCTGGCTCAAAAAGTCACACGCCAAGGGGCCTCTCCTTTAAATGTGGGCCGCTGCTGAGGGGCTGGATTCATCCAGTGTTTTAGCTGCAGATCCAGCCGTTTATCCAAGTCCTCAGCATTTTCCCATGTTTTCCTTCCATTTATCAAATAGGTCATTAAGTCCAGACTTTTTATCCCATCGCTCCAGATCCAATCACTGGGCTGCCTGTGATAAAGGTTTGCTTTCAAAGGAGCCAAACATCTGGATTACTTCTAGATTTTCCCTGTGAACGTTGCCTAGCAACCCTAAATCCCATCGGTTCATCACATTCCATCATGACGATAAGAATATCAGCCTTTATTAAACTAGTATTGCTTTAATACCTGCAGATGTTGTTGATGAATAAAGTGCGTTTTCAGATGGTTTAGGTCAGACTGGGTTCTTCAGCCTCATGCAGGGAAGATGCAGCAGAAGGAGGGACAGAGATGAAAGCTTCAGATTGATAAACCAGCTTATTCTGAAGCTCTGATTAGGATCTAAACAGATTATTCTCTGGATGTCATTGGTTGATTCTTATTGGATCCATCTGATTATTAGTTCGTCTGAGGAGGAGTTTCTGTTAGTGTCCACCAGAGGGCGACCCTGTAGCAGTATGAATGGGTCCAGATCCTCTGTCCTGTTGGTTAATAGAAACACAGATCAGTTCTGACCCGTTTAGCCACGCAGAGGAGCTAACATTGTATGCTAGCAGTTAGCCCAGGAGAGAGAAGCTCCAGTTCCAGCCTTCCTTCCTCTGAGAGGAACCAGAACCAATTAATGACTGATGGAACAGAGAGCTAGCTCACAGTTAGCGTCCACTTCATGCTGCCAGCATATCGCAGTGACATACCCTGTCTATTAATGATAGATCTACGTCTCTGTTCAGTGGAAATCAGGACAGTTTAATATGGAGGCAGTCAGCTGCCTCCATATTAAACCTTTAATGTTCTGGAAAGATTAGAGAGAAAGGTCTGGTTTGAGGGAAAATGGCTGCTTATCAATCATTGGTTATTGGATCAGTTAGTCATTAATTTATCCATAATTAATTCAATTCAATTCAGTTTATTTATATAGCGCCAATTAGCATCATTAGTAGTAAACTAAAAGCCTGATCTTTGGCCTGATGCTGGATGAGGAAGAGGAGGAGATCCTCCTGGACCTGATGGGTTCAGCCAGCTCTCTGACAGACAGGAAGTAGGAAGTTAATAAAGCTTAGAGTTTACTGGGCTGACTGAACCAGCGTGGGGCATGGCGCCCCCACTGGCAGCATCCTGAAACACAGGATGGAGACAGAAGGCAGCCTTCAGGGACCTTCTAGAGGGAGGATGAGGATAGGAGGCAGCCTTATAAACCAGAGGTATCTCCTATCACACTGTTGGCCCTCTGGTGGGGCCTCCTGTCTCCTCAGGAGATGCTGGTCCTGGCCAGCCCAGCGTTCACATGTAGACTGACATCATTGAAGCAGTGACTGAAGAGTTTGAGCTTCTAAGCTGCAGCTGTGTGGGAGCGGCCGCCTCCAGAGATGCTTCCTGCATCATCTCATGGTCTGCTGTGGTTACAGACCTCTGCTCTAAGGACAGAATCCAGGCTGTGACTTTTTGGGCCAGGCAGTTTCTACCTGATGATCATCAGATGAACATCAGGAAAACAAACAAGAGAAGGGAAGAAAAGGGACAATTGGTCGACCTTGTAGAAGCAAAGACGTCCTTGGGGAATTTGACTACTAACTTTATTTCCCTTTTTTCTGGTGTTTGTGTGTTTGGCTGGATTAGGGCCTTCCAGCAGATATTCTAGGCTGATTCTTCCACATTCTCTCTGATCTTTAAATGTCTTCTCTCTGTAACGGGCTGATCTCACCTAAAGCTTCACTCATCACATGTAGTGGACCTGAATTTTCTTGGAGGCTCTGGTGACCTCAGTAGATCTGGGATTATTACTCAGCTCTGGTCTCAGCTTCTCTCCTTCCAGGTTGATGAAGTCCACCGCCTAACAAGTCTAGAGTGGAGTTTGAAGCGGGTGTTTGTTGGAACCAGGAGCAGCAGGCTGATTGTGTCCGTAGGGGTGAAGCCTCTCTGCCTGTCAGGCTGTAGATCCTGCTACCAGCAGCTGGGCTGTTGCTGTACCAGGCAGGGACCTGTGACCTGGATGATGACCTGTTGTTGTTCTCCTTTGGCTGTGAGGCCTTCCATCCTTGGTAACGTCTACGAGAACAATTCATTGGTCCAAACCAAGGTTAGCTTAGCGCCATCTATGAGCCAGGAGCTAACAGTTTCTAAAGGGTTTGTTGCCTCTTATGAACGTTTGAATTTTTATGTGGTTTCAAGGTCTTTGAAGATCTTGTTTGGTTTTTTGAAGCTAAATGGTTTCAGGTTTTCCTCCAGACCTGTTGACTTGTTTCCTGTTCTGGATCTTTCCCTTTGACTCCAACTTGAAGTCAGCCGATGGTTCTGGATCTCCTGCAGGTCTATTAGGAGCTCCTCAGGGCTCCGTTTCAAGAAGCAGGTTTACTGAAAACTCTACGTTATTTCAACCTGAAATCAGGGAAACTCTGACTTTTTTTCCTCATCCTCTGTTGGCATAGTAACATCCTCCCAGAGCTAACCTGGTCAGCAGCAGGTTTTCCTCAGTAAACTCTGAGTCCTCTGGCTCTGCTCTCCTTACAGCCAATTTTGTGCATAAAAAAACAAGAATGAATCATTCACTAGGTCCGTTAGACAGAATAGCTTTTAAAAACAAACATTTTGTGTCTGTGTGAGGAGGATCTCATTAAAGAATGATCGGAGTTAATTCACAAAGAATTAAGTATTTATAGGGAGAGGATTCTACAACTCAGTAACAGGATAGGAGATTACTGGTTTTTGGTTTGTTTAATATGAGAGAAATGTGGATCATTTTATTTTTATTTAGTTATATTTACAGAACATGAAGAAATACTGAGATTATTTTCAGATTACACATATAAATAATATAGAAAATAGATTCATTAATTCCAGCGGGGAAAAGGAATTACTTAAGATTTAACCTAAATAGATTAATTGATCTACTACCAGTCAAGAAATTATCCCGTAATGTTATCGTGGCCACAGCAGCCTATGGCAAGCCGTTTTGATATGTACTAGTTTTACTGAATGTGTATTCCTGATATCTAAAAAAAAAAATGTTTTCTTTGTCTAAATGACCATTTCGAACAAACTGACAGTTTCCACTTCTAGAACAAACATTCTGGATTTCTAGGAATTTATTTCTGATCTCCACAGGCTGGATCCATTAGACTCTAGGCTGGATCCATTAGACTCTAGGCTGGATCCATTAGACTCTAGGCTGGATCCGTTTAGACTCTAGGCTGGATCCGTGTAGACTCTAGGCTGGATCCGTGTAGACTCTAGGCTGGATCCGTGTAGACTCTAGGCTGGATCCGTTTAGACTCTAGGCTGGATCCATTAGACTCTAGGCTGGATCCGTTTAGACTCTAGGCTGGATCCGTGTAGACTCTAGGCTGGATCCGTGTAGACTCTAGGCTGGATCCGTGTAGACTCTAGGCTGGATCCGTTTAGACTCTAGGCTGGATCCGTGTAGACTCTAGGCTGGATCCATTAGACTCTAGGCTGGATCCGTGTAGACTCTAGGCTGGATCCGTTTAGACTCTAGGCTGGATCCGTGTAGACTCTAGGCTGGATCCATGTAGACTCTAGGCTGGATCCATTAGACTCTAGGCTGGATCCGTTTAGACTCTAGGCTGGATCCGTGTAGACTCTAGGCTGGATCCATTAGACTCTAGGCTGGATCCGTGTAGACTCTAGGCTGGATCCGTTTAGACTCTAGGCTGGATCCGTGTAGACTCTAGGCTGGATCCATGTAGACTCTAGGCTGGATCCATTAGACTCTAGGCTGGATCCGTGTAGACTCTAGGCTGGATCCGTTTAGACTCTAGGCTGGATCCGTGTAGACTCTAGGCTGGATCCATGTAGACTCTAGGCTGGATCCATTAGACTCTAGGCTGGATCCGTTTAGACTCTAGGCTGGATCCGTGTAGACTCTAGGCTGGATCCATTAGACTCTAGGCTGGATCCGTGTAGACTCTAGGCTGGATCCGTTTAGACTCTAGGCTGGATCCGTGTAGACTCTAGGCTGGATCCATGTAGACTCTAGGCTGGATCCATTAGACTCTAGGCTGGATCCGTTTAGACTCTAGGCTGGATCCGTGTAGACTCTAGGCTGGATCCGTGTAGACTCTAGGCTGGATCCGTGTAGACTCTAGGCTGGATCCGTTTAGACTCTAGGCTGGAGTTTGTTAAACCTGCTTCATGAAACCTGAAGGAACGTCTGGGTGGAGCACATCTCCACCAGAGGTCAGAGTTGTCTGGCGTCTCCAGCACCACATCAGCTCTGATAGCAGAGGGCTGTTGTCATGGCAACAGAAGAAGCTGACCATCATTAAGGACGGGATGTAGATGGTTCCTACTTTGATTGGTGGAGGTGTTGATATTCCACCCTCTGGTTCACCTCCTGGCCATAGCTGGATGGATGGAGGTTAGAGCCTCCACCTGTTTCCCTTCTCTCCCCTTCCAGAGGAGATCATGATGATGATGATGATGATGCTACGCCCAGCCACCCAGAGCTGTCTGAGTATTCCTGCAGATAGGAGAACCTATCCTCAACTGCTGGCTGCCTGGTTAGATCCATGGGAGGAGGTGCTGAATGGAGACAGCAGGAGGTCCTTCTGCTGCTGGCTGCCTGGTTAGATCCATGGGAGGAGGTGCTGAATGGAGACAGCAGGAGGTCCTTCTGCTGCTGGCTGCCTGGTTAGATCCATGGGAGGAGGTGCTGAATGGAGACAGCAGGAGGTCCTTCTGCTGCTGGCTGCCTGGTTAGATCCATGGGAGGAGGTGCTGAATGGAGACAGCAGGAGGTCCTTCTGCTGCTGGCTGCCTGGTTAGATCCATGGGAGGAGGTGCTGAATGGAGACAGCAGGAGGTCCTTCTGCTGCTGGCTGCCTGGTTAGATCCATGGGAGGAGGTGCTGAATGGAGACAGCAGGAGGTCCTTCTGCTGCTGGCTGCCTGGTTAGATCCATGGGAGGTCGTCAGGAAGCTTGCTGTCCTCATGGCTCCTTCAGTCCTGATGTCAGCAGCAGATTGATGGAGCTCTGCTATCTGATGCTTTCATCAGTTTGGCTCCAGAAACTCCCAGCATGCTCTGCTCTCTAGGAAGCTCCCCCCCATGGATGGGGAGACGCCATCTTTGCTGCGCTCTGTTGGTCCAACCATGAGACCTGCGCTTCTACCATGTCCTCTCTCTCTGTCCATCGGTCTGTCTGTCTCTGTCCATCTGTCTGTTGGACTTCCTTGTCCTCCAGAGGACCTCGTCTCTGACTGATGACCTCCTCTGTCTGTTCTCGTCTGCAGGGTTCTAAGTCACCGCCTCCCCGCCCCGATCTGCTGTTGGTTGCCAGGACAACCTGATGTCTCTTCCTGGACGAGCGACGGTCTTCTCTTCCATCATCACTATCTATGTAACGGAGCGTATAGATCTACAGGCAGCTGTGTGATCTATATTTTCATGTGTATAAATCATAAGATTCCAGTTGGGAAATGTTTGGGCTTTTCTTTCCCCCCCTCCATCAGTTTATCGACCTTTGACCCTCTGCAGACGGTGGGAAGGTATTTTCTGTCTGAGGTAACAGATCCTTTCTTCTTCCTCACTACTAAATGATTTCATCCTTTTACCAAATGAAAGGTAAAACATGTTAAACTGTCCTTTCTGTTCCTGAATGAATAAATGACACAAACCCTGGATGTTGAGTTTAAACTTTTTTTTTTTTTTTTTTTTTTTTTCCTATGGTGAATAGTTTGCTTGTTGATATAAGAAGCAAGACAGCAGTTGGTAGAATGATACTTTTGCTCTCTCCCTTTCTCTAGAAGTATGATTTATTAAATCTGTTGTAAAATGGTCTTCTTCAGAAATGCCAATAAAAACGTTACTAAACTCAGAAAGTCTTCATCTTATTTTCCTGTCCTGCTTATTAGTCCTCCATGGATCCTCTGTCTGCTGAGCTCCATGATCTGGAGATCCTGCTCTACTTCTAGGGTTAGCGTATCTTTTTGTTTTTAGCTTTTAGCTCAAAAATAGAACTGCAACTGATACCGTCACCATAGATCAGTTCAGTGTTCCTGACAACCCAGACCTTCAGCCCCCCTGGTGCAGCTAATCTGGTCAGAAATAGAATGAAGCAGAATGATGAAAAAGGGGTCCCTATGTCCTCCAGCAGTCTAAGCCTATAGCAGCATAACTATAGAGATGGCTCAGGATAACCTGAGCCACCCTAACTATAAGCTTTATCAAAAAGGAAAGTTTTAAGCCTAGCCTTAAAAGTAGACAGGGTGTCTGCCTCACGGACTAAAACTGGTAGTTGGTTCCACGGGAGAGGAGCCTGATAACTAAAAGATCTGCCTCCCATTCTACTTTTAGAAATTCTAGGAACCACTAGTAAACCTGCAGATTGAGAGCGAAGTGCTCTGTTAGGAACATAAGGAACAATCAGATCTCTGATATCAGATGGAGCTTGGCCATTTAAGGCTTTATATGTGAGAAGGAGGATTTTAAATTCTATTCTGGATTTAACAGGAAGCCATTTTTGAGTCAAAACTGGGGAAAAAAGGCAAACAGGCTAGGCTTGATGAACACTGTGTCCCAGTTCTGGATTTATGGAACCAGAATTACAGCTAGCTAAGCTACCAGCGGTTAGCTTGGACCCTCAGCTGGGTCTCTGGTGGAGGATGTCATCCACAGGCTGAACAGGAAGCCAGATGAAGAGAAGCCAGGATAGTTAAGAGTCATCCAGGTTTTTATGTCTTCAAGACATGCCTGTAATCTATGTAATGGGTTAGCTTCATCTGGATTTATAGACAGATATAGCTGGGTATCATCAGCATAACAGTGGAAATTACAGGTGCTGGTCATAAAATTAGAATATCATGAAAAAGTAGATTGATTTCAGTAATTCCATTTAAAAAGTGAAACTTGTATATTATATTCATACATTACATACAAACTCATATATTTCAGATGTTTATTTTGTTTAATTTTGATGATTACAAATGACAACAAATGAAAATCTCAAATTCATCATATCAGAAAATTAGAATATTGTGAAAAGGTTCAAAATTGATGGCCCCTGGTGCCACACTCTAATCAGCTAATTAACTCAAACCACCTGCAAAAGCCTTTAAATGGTCTTTCAGTCTAGTTCTATAGGCTACACAATCATGGGGAAGACTGCTGACTTGACAGTTGTCCAAAAGACGACCATCGCCACCTTGCAGAAGGAGGGCAAGACACAAAAGGTCATCGCTAAAGAGGCTGGCTGTTCACAGAGCTCAGTGTCCAAGCACATTAATAGAGAGGCGAAGGGAAGGAAAAGATGTGGTCGAAAAAAGTGTACAAGCAAGAGAGATAACCGCACCCTGGAGAGGATTGTGAAACAAAACCCATTCAAAAATGTGGGGGAGATTCACAAAGAGTGGACTGCAGCTGGAGTGAGTGCTTCAAGAACCACCACACACAGACGTATGAAAGACATGGGTTTCTGCTGTCGCATTCCTTGTGTCAAGCCACTCTTGAACCACAGACAGCGTCAGAAGCGTCTTGCCTGGGCTAAAGAGAAACAGGACTGGACTGCTGGTGAGTGGTCCAAAGTCATGTTCTCTGATGAAAGTAAATTTTGCATTTCCTTTGGAAATCAAGGTCCCAGAGTCTGGAGGAAAAGAAGAGAGGCACTTCATCCACGTTGCTTGAAGTCCAGTGTAAAGTTTCCACAGTCAGTGATGGTTTGGGGTGCCATGTCATCTGCTGGTGTTGGTCCATTGTGTTTTCTGAGGTCCAGGGTCAACGCAGCCACATACCAGGAAGTTTTAGAGCACTTCATGCTTCCTGCAGCTGACCAACTTTTTGGAGATGCAGATTTCATTTTCCAACAGGACTTGGCACCTGCACACAGTGCCAAAGCTACCAGTACCTGGTTGAAGGACCATGGTATCCCTGTTCTTAATTGGCCAGCAAACTCTCCTGACCTTAACCCCATAGAAAATCTATGGGGTATTGTGAAGAAGAAGATGCAATACACCAGACCCAACAATTCAGAAGAGCTAAAAGCCACTATTAGAGCAACCTGGGCTATCATAACACCTGAGCAGTGCCACAGACTGATCGACTCCATGCCACGCCGCATTGCTGCAGTAATACAGGCCAAAGGAGGCCCAACTAAATACTGAGTGCTGTACATGCTCATACTTTTCATGTTCATACTTTTCAGTTGGCCAACATTTCTATAAATCCTTTGTTTTTATTGGTCTTCAGTAATATTCTAATTTTCTGATATGATGAATTTGAGATTTTCATTTGTTGTCATTTGTAATCATCAAAATTAAACAAAATAAACATCTGAAATATATGAGTTTGTATGTAATGTATGAATATAATATACAAGTTTCACTTTTTAAATGGAATTACTGAAATCAATCTACTTTTTCATGATATTCTAATTTTATGACCAGCACCTGTAATCCCATGCTGTCTAATAATTCTACCAATTGGGAGCATGTATAAAGTAAAGAGAATTGGTCCTAGCACTGATCCCTGTGGTACTCCACAGGTAACCTTTGAGCGTGTTGAAGATCTATCATTAACATGAACAAACTGAATTCGATCAGATATATATGATTTAAACCAGTCTAGTGCTGTTCCTTTAATTCCAACAAAAATATTCAAGTCTTTATAAAAGAATATAATTGTCAACTGTATCAAATGCAGCACTGAGATCCAACAGGACGAGCACAGATACAAGTCCATTATCTGAGGCCATGAGAATATCATTAGTGACTTTCACCAGAGCTGTTTCAGTGCTATGATGAGCTCTAAAGCCAGACTGAAACTCTTCAAAAAGTTCATTATGGTGGAAGTGATCGCACACTTGTTTGGCAACTACTTTCTCAAGAATTTTAGATAAGAAAGGAAGATTGGATATAGGTCTATTATTGACCAAGTCATCTGGGTCAAGAGACGGTTTCTTAAGCAGAGGTTTAATTACAGCAACCTTAAAAGCTTTAGGTACATATCCCTGTAACAGAGATAGATTAATCACATCTAGAATGGAGGAGGAGATCAAAGGGAATACCTCCTTAAATAACCTGGTTGGAACTGGATCTAACATCCAAGTTGAAGGCTTAGATGAAGACAATAATTTTGCTAACTCTGAAAGTTCAACTGGATCAAAGCAGTCTAAACCCGGTTCAGATTCCATGACTACCTCAGATGCTGCCCCACCCTCCAGAGACAAACCAATTGCGGATAGAGGAGTGCTAATGATCTTATTTTTAATAAGATCAATCTTATTTATAAAGAATCCCATAAAATCATTGCTGCTAAGAGCAGGTGGAATGGACGGTTCAACAGAGCTATGGCTCTGGGTGAGTTTGGCAATTGTATTAAAAAGAAATCTAGGATTATTCTTTTTCTCCTCTATTAATGAGGAGAAATATGCTGCTCTTGCTTTACAAAGGGTCCTCTTATACAGCAGTAAGCTGTTTTTTCAGACTAGGTAAGATTCCTGTAGGCCTGTGGAGTGATATTTTCTCTCCAGTTTCCTAGCATTTTGCTTCAAAGTACGCAGCTCTGCATTAAACCAAGGAGCAAGCTTTCTATTTTTAATGGTTTCCTTTTTCAAAGGAGCTGCGTTGTCTGAGGCAGAGAATTCCATTCAATTCAGTTTATTTATATAGAACTAGCCACCCCATCAACAAAATCATCAACCTGTGAAGGGGAATAAACTAACTAACACATTCAAAACAGGCAGCCTGTCCTTCAGACCATGCAGGATCCAATCAAAGAAGGATGGGCATTAATTCACAGAGAATGAAATATTTCTAGGAAGAGGATTATCAGAGCGCATCTAGATGTCCTTTCTATTCTGAAAGTTCTCAGCGCTACCGTTCCATCTCCTAATCCATCCCAGACATCCAGACCTGATCCGTCCTCATTAGCAGCCTTCCACACTTCTTTAACACAACTGGATTATATCAGGAAGAGAACATGGATGGCTGATAACAGCATCATAGAAAACACCTGCAGTCAGACAGACACTGAGTATTTACTGGAAGACGGGAGCAACCTGAGGAGGAACCCATGAGACGATGAACAGGTCGTCCCTGATAGAACAACAATTCTAGACTCCATCTCCACCTGCTGACAGGCGATTTCACCTAAACAGATACAATGATCACCACCATTCTACATATACTAGTTAACCCAGATAATATTATCGTGGTCACAGGCCGTGATGATATAAGTTTGACTGAATATGTATGTAATGCTTAGAAACTAGTCCATGTATTTGTTATTTCAAGGTTGGACTATTGTAATTCTTTACTATCAGGAAGTAGAATGGGAGGCAGATCTTTTAGTTATCAGGCTCCTCTCCTGTGGAACCAACTACCAGTTTTAGTCCGTGAGGCAGACACCCTGTCTACTTTTTAGGCTAGGCTTAAAACTGGTCTCTGATCTGCTTTCCCGAGGCTGTTCTACATCCATTGAGGACGACCTTGGGCATCCTGGTTGGAGTAAAACTCACATCCATGCCCACCTGCCTGTCTGGTCTCCAAGCAGTGGCTGCAGTCAGGAGGCTTATTGTAGCACAGGCGGATCCCTGGAAGACCTTCAGACCAAATTATTTCTTTCTGATCCTCGTGTCAACTTCTTAAAAACACCTGAAAAAATACACAGCTTCAAAAACCATGAGTCGATCACTAGTTGCTCTATCGGATGTTTTTTCTTCTTTTTTTGTGGTATTTTTCACAACTGACTCTCCTTTGTCGGTGTCCTCAGGATAACACAGGCCTGAAATTACATGTTCATATTTCTGTTTTTTTTTGTAACTCTACTGGCATTTGTTATTCTCTGTGTGTTTTCTGATGTGTGCCAGACGGTGGCAGGCCT